CCCTGGCATTAGAGTTTAGAGAGGGATGCCCACTCCCTGGCATCAGGGTTTGGAGAGGGATGCCCACTTCCCTGGCATCAGGGATTTGGAGAGGGATGCCCACTTCCCTGGCATTAGAGTATAGAGAGGGATGCCCACTTCCCTGGCATCAGGGATTTATTCTGAGAGGGATGCCCACTTCCCTGGCATCAGGAGTTTGGAGAGGGATGCCCACTTCCCTGGTATCAGGGTTTGGAGAAGGATGCCTCACTTCCTGGCATTAGAGTTTAGAGAGGGATGCCTCACTCCCTGGCATCAGGGTTTGGAGAGGGATGCCCACTTCCCTGGCATCAGGGTTTGGAGAGGGATGCCCACTTCCTGGCATCAGGGATTGGAGAGGGATGCCCACTTCCCTGTCATTAGGAGTTTAGAGAGGGATGTCCACTTCCCTGGCATCAGGAGTTTGGAGAGGGATGCCCATTTCCCTGGCATTAGCAGTTTGGAAAGCAGAGCTGTAAATCCTGTGGACTTGCTGTAAAATCAAATTCAGTTCTTTCAAAATTTCAGTTCTTTCCAAGCAATGTTGGTTTAAAATACTGGAATTTCCGAGCTGAGTTTTTCATTCCTGGTGCACGTCAGTGTCATTGTAAAAGTGCTGGTTTTGTATTCTGCACTTTTTGTCCAAGGAGAATTATCTCTGCTGCAGAAAAATGAGTTTATTCAGATTTTAAGAATTGCATTGATGGATTTAGTGGGCCACAAGTCAGAGACAGCTCAGGTGGCAGCTGATGAGTGTTTGCCCCTCGTCCCTCCATCCTCAGGGGGACCTGGGAGCCATCGATGACAAATATGACGTGGCCATTTCCTCCTCGTGTGGGGCCTTGGACCACATTGTTGTGGACACCATTGACACTGCCCAGGCCTGTGTGAACTTCCTGAAGGCTGGAGGCATTGGAGTCGCCACCTTCATAGCCCTGGACAAGGTGAGAAACAAATCATTTTACTGTTAATTGCAGTCTAATTGCGTTTCTTGTAAAGCCTTACCATGCCATAGGATAACAGGATGAGCTCAGGATTTTTCCCAAAGATTGATGCCTTGATTTCCCCTGTGGGTGCAGATGGCTGTGTGGGAAAAGAAAATGGAGAAGATCCCAACCCCTGAGAACGCGCCCCGGCTCTTTGACCTGGTGAGGGTGGAGGACGCCCAGGTTCGCCTGGCCTTCTACTTCGCTCTCAGGGACACTCTGGTGGCCAAGAACCTGGAGGAGGCCACCAGAATTGCATTCCAGAAGGAGAAAAGGTGGAGGGTGGTCACCCTGCAGGGACAGATCATCGAGGTGTCAGGTACTGCAGCCCAGCTGAGCTCCACTGGGAGCCCTTTGTGGGTGATACCACAGCCCAAGGAGTTCTCTGAGCTCTTCTCATCCCTTTTTCTGTAGGAACCATGACTGGTGGGGGAGGAAAGGTCATGAAGGGCAGGATGGGCTCCTCAGTCGTGATGGATATCTCAGAAGAAGAGGTGAGTACAGCAGGGAAATGCAATTCCAGCAGAATTCCTTCCTTTGGGCAGTTCTGACACACATGTGTGTGCTTTTAAAGCACCGTGAGCAGGAGCAGCCTGGGATGGAAGATAATGATGAATGTTTCCAAAGCCAACACTCCAAATGTTGGCAGAGGTCAGAGGGCTTTGAGGAGCATCAGGGATGCAGGGGCTGCCCAGGGAGGTTTGGGGACAGGGTGGTGACAGGCACAGGCTGCACCCCTTGCTTGGAGGGCTTTGCCAGCCCCAGGGTGCTGGGATTATTNTTGTTGGAATTGTTGAAATGGGAAGCCATGGAATCAGCCCGAGGGTTGTTTGGTGCTCACTGAGCGCAGCCATCGCTCCGTGAGTGCGGTCAGTGATGGAGCTGGGTCAGCCCTGGTCCCTGGGGCAGGAGGGGCTCAGGGGTCACTCCCAGGCCAGGGGAGGCTCAAGGTCCTTCCTGTGCAGGTGCAGGAGCTCAAGAACGTCCCCTCCAGCAACAGCAAGGCCATCGAGGACGCCACGGCCAAGAGGGAGCTGCTGGCAAAGGCCAAGGACAAGGAGGAGGCCAAGCTGAGGCAGGTCCTGGCCAGCCTGCAGGAGGAGACCAAGGAGATCCAGAAGGAAAAAGAGGTTTGGACAGGCAGGAGTCACCCACCTCTGCTGAAGGAAACCAGCACCAGGCACTTGTAAAATGCCATTTAGTGACAATTCCACTGTTCTCAGGGTAGCTCAGAGGAGCCTCAGTGGGAAACTATCTTACTTACTTGGCTTGGAAAAGTGTTGGAGATTTTTTCAGAAATGGCTTGGAAGGCAGCTGTGGGGGACAGGTTCTCACAGCCTGTTTCTGTGAACAGCAGAAGTTCTCAGGTTGTTTTTAATTACAGGTAAAAGTGACAAACATGAAGGCCTTGAGAACCTGGCATACCAGAGTTCTCAGGCAGCTTTCTCATAACAAGTAGATATTTTATCTTTGGCTGTTTTGGGAAAGCAAAAATAATTTTGAGAAGCCAAATCTTGGTATTGGAAACATAATGGCTGCTTTTTAGGTGCTCAAACATCATCAAGTAGCTCATTCCTAGATGTAATATAAATAATACACTCTGATTTTCTGCCACCAAAATATTTAAGGCAATGGTGTTGCTTAAATAAATCAAGATATTCTGGAATGATCTGTTCCCAGCCTTTCCCACACTGACTGTGAATTAATGAACAACCACTTTAACATTTGGTTATTGGTGGTGGTGTTCAGTGCCTGGAGGCTGGAAATTTATCCTGTAAATTTGCAGGGTTATTTTGTGTCCTTGAAAAGGTGGATTCTCCATGGATTTGGGCTGTCATTTAGCTCAGTGTGTGGGAGGAAATGATTTGAGGAAATGATCCACAGCTTGCACAGAAATGCTCTGTGATAACTCCCTGATGTTCTTCATAACTGGGAAAATCCTTGTTAAATTCCCACCATTCATGTTGATTAGTGCAGAAATGCTGCTTCCCCTGAGA